TGTGTCTCATTCCTAATGAAACATTTTGTAAGCAAGATCTTGGCCAAGATACAAAATGCAGAAATGTAAACAGATCTTGAAAATTTAGGTACAAGATAATCATATTATCTTTTACCAAGATCTTGAATCAGATCTTGGATACAGATATGTAAGATCTTGGTTACAGATTCATAAGATCTTAGAAATGGATCCATAAGATCTTGGGTACATACTAAGATAAAACGTATTGCATACGTCGTGATTTGCGACATGATGCATAAATACATTTTGAAAGCATGGTTATTTTAATTATTCATATTCGAAATAACTGAAGCAAGTCAGATCTTGGAATCTGCTTGATCTTGAGATTGTTCAATCTCCGTCGTGTTGCTTCAGAGTAGTTCGCTCTCAATCATCGATCGAGATTAGCATGTTCTCGAATGATCAACACTCGAGAAATAATTCTAAAAAAAAACTATGTTGAAAATGTATGTTTTGTATGTTCAATCTCGTTGTTTATATATGGCTCTATCTGCATTAAAAAATGGTGAATGACTAGTCAGCATGTAAACACTAATGATGTCGCACTTTTACTCAAGATCTTTTGAGAAGATAATAGTAAACAATATCTTTGCTATGATCTTGACAAGATCTTAAATACAGATTTATCTGATATAACCAAGATACTCACGTACAAATTATCTTTTCAGGATCTTATGAAGATCTTGCTTACAAGATGTTCAACTAGGGCATTTATTGTTGTTTTTCTAATTAGTCTATTCTTTTTGTGTACTCAAAAAGTGAGTAACACTCTAGAATCTGTCAGTGTCCGTTCGTTTACACGACAACTTTTGAAAGAAGAGTCCGATCACGGTGAAATTTTCTACATAGCTTAGTCTCAACAATATCTCGGCCGAGAGAAGAAGATGAGAATGATTGGCCGAGCCATTGCTGAGCTATTGCAAAAATAGTCTTTTTTCCCTATGATTCCCTATGTGAAGATCGACCTATCTCCGCTTTCGTAAAAAAATTTTCTTATCATAGTCAAATAAAACCCCAACTATTATATACCATTCGATAGAGAATTTTACGAGCTACAAAATGGTATATAAAACATAAGGAAACAAACTCAGCTATTGCAAAGATAATTAAACGGAATTCGGTTCTGTTTTTGTCCACGCTCTAATTAATCCACAAATAGAACTCTATCTTCCGATCACAGAGATAATAGTTCGAGGTTTTCTGAGGTGGAGAAATCGAATCTGTGCTCCATTCGCCTCGAGATTCCATTGGTTGAACAGTAACCAATAGAGATCAAGTTATAGGAAAAACGACTTTCTTAGGGTAAATCAAGGTGAAGAGTTCAAATCTAAGCTGTATTCACCCACAAATCCTATTGGTTGAGTAGTAGCCAATAGAAATCAAGTGTTTATAGATAAGATTTGCCAGGATAATTTTTATATCCCCACATTCTAGAATGACTCATCTGTCTCATTCACTTTTTGAAGTACACATAACTCTCTGATTTAAATCCGAGGTTTCCACATTTATTTTATTTTGTTCTGACTAGTCTGTTCTATTTCACTCTAATTTCTTTTTTATTTTCTCCAATTCTATTCATTGTCGATTCTTTTACTCATTTTATTAATCATATCAGTGTGCATATATGTATACAGGTTTGATTGCATGAAAAAAGTATGGTGAACTAAAACAAGTATCCACTATCGAAAGGTTATTTACCGTAGAAGGAACCAGAAGGCAGTGTTCACAGTCCAGAATAAGGAGTTATCCATATTCAAGAGATTTATTTTCAGTGGAAATGGCTTGGGGGAACCAGAAGGTGTCCACAATGCAGAGGTGTTCACATGAGAATGTTTTACTGTTTGTATTATCATTTTATCTTCTTTTTATATACAGGGTGTCCAGAAAGTCTTTATAGAAAGAAAAATTTCAATATTTTTTTCAAGTTTCTGCCAAATGAGCTGGTTTTCTTTTATGTGAGTAGAGAACAGTTACAAGTATTTATTCACAGAAAATTAACAAACTTCTATTGAGTATATAATTAAACAGCTTGATTGATGATTTATATATTATCAGTAGATAGTACTGCTCATAGATCTGCAGGACGAGAAACAAATCTCGTCCCGTCTTGTAATGAGACAGGTTTGGATAAAATTTTAAAGAAATAGCGGGATGGGACAGCTAGGTCGCGGAACGCAGGCCAAGGATATGATGGGACAACTTTTCTACTGTTCTGTGGAGCTCTGATACTGCTATTAGAATTTTATGCTCAACATTAAGTCTCTTTCTAAATTTAGTCTTGGCTCATTTCTCTTGTTCTTTTTTAAACAAACAGCAAACAGACGAACATACATGTCAAAAGAAATAAGATAAAAGTTGAAATTAGAAATTGATTTAATTTTTCACAAAATATTATAGTAGTAGGACTATCAACTGATGATAAATAAATCATCAATAAAGCTGTTTACTTGTATACTCAATAGAAGTTTGTTGATTTTAATGTGTATAAATAGACTATTCATTTATGAATACAAAGTTATAACTGTTCTCTATCCGCATAAAAAAATGAACTCATTTGATTGAAGCATGAAAAAGATATTGAAATTCTTCTTTGTTTCAAGACTTTCTAAGGATACTTCATGTGAGAAAGTGAAAATTGATCGAACGAAAAATAGTCCAACGAAAATTGGTCGAAACGAAAAGTTGTCGAGAAATTTATAATAAAAAAAACAATAAAAACTTCAAATGAAATGAATAAATTAAAGCATGACAAAAGAAAACAGAAGATGTCATTACCGAAATACAGATCACCACAGTGAACCATACGTTTTTCTGATACATAGAGTATATGAAATAGAATTTCTTTCCACGATTAAAGTTGCCCGATTCACAAGTTTTCATGAAATTATATCAAAATAATTCTAATATTAATGTGAAAACAAGAGAAAAACATTTTCAGAGTGTGAATATGGATGTGAATGAATGTAATAGAGTTCAAGAAGATTTATTCTAATACCGACACCGATTCTTTATTTTTACTTATTCTCCCTCTTTAAATCAATTGTTCTCGAGAAAGCTCGGCATCCATTTTACTTGTATATATGTTACTAACCCAAAAAATTTTAAGCACTAGAGATAGTTCATAAACTAATACTTTTTATTTTTCACACTGCTGTCGATTGTATCAAAGAATTCTTTTTTTTCCGTTTTTATTATAAATTCCTCGACTATTTTTCTCATCGATCAATTTTTCTAGACCCAAGTCAATCATCCAGTTTTATCTAATATTATTAAGTCAATTTAATTAGTGTCAATTAGAAATTCACATCTGAAATTTCCAATCATTACTCTTTTGTTCCGGATTTTTTTATTTGTTTTTCTCTCAAGTATTACAAAATGCGTAATAGACAATGGTGAGATCAAGGTCATTAACTTGTCTTATTTACTTGAAAGAAACAGAAACCGAAAACCATTATAGATCTCAAAAGAAACCAACAAGATAAGTCATAACTTGAAAGAGAACATATAGATATATGTGTGTCATGACTCATTAGAATAAGTCAAAGAGCAGAAAGAAAAGAAAAACAACAACATATGACATTAATGTAGGCCACTATATTACATTTTCATATAAAAAACAATTTTTGTTCAATCTTCTCTTATCGATATTATTGCACTCGACTATAATTCAATAACGGTTCAAACAGAATAATATGAACTCTAATACATTTAAAGACTGAATGATGATAATTAATATTGTACATTGATTTTTTCTTGAAAAATAATAGATGATCTGTATTTTGTTCATAGTTATCAGATTCTAATTGAGTATATTTCAAGTTGTTCTCTTTTTGATTATTTCTTTTTTCTTTTGGATTATTTTGTGATTGAGTGAATAAAAGCATTTTTATTCGATCGATTTCAATCTCTGACATAGATGAGTTTGACAATCACTTTCATAACTGATCTCATACAGTTTCGAATGCAAAAAAATGAATCTAAATCGAATTCCAAATT